AGTCCTCGCTGCGCCATAGTAGACTGGGCAGGCGCTAGTGATGCCTCGAGGGCTCACGGGAATTGTAGTCTGATTCTTCCGACTCGTGAGGTCGTTGGAGGCGTGCAACTCCTATCCACAAAAAATCCCAAAACAACACAACAATAAAAAACAAAACAGAAACAAAAAACAAAAACCAGGTGATCCCTGCGCAATTGGGTTTGGGATTATTCGATATATTTTATTGCCCATCGTATAGCCCAACTCCTTTATTTTATCTGTGAGAAAATACAAGTGCATCCCATTTATTGAGCCCATAATGATTGTGGAAGACCAGTTCGGCAGGCTGGGGAATAAAGCAGACACTCTTCTCAAGGAATTTACAGATCACTGGAGTAGATGGACAAGTGAGCGTTCAACTACTAAGTGCTATGATGGGACTAAGAACAGGGTGCCAAGGAGGCATGTCACTCAGACTGGGAGGCACAGAGAAAACTGAATGGCTAGAGCAAGCTAAAGGTGTAGAAAGAGAGATTTAGGCAGAGGGAATTCTAGATGTTGTGGCTTCCTTGGGATTTCAATCAAATGAACTAATGAATGCCTATAGAGGGCTGGCATCATTATTATGCTTGTTGCAAAGACAAATGAAAGCTTTGCAAGCAAGGGGTAAGCTCTTTAGGGCCGCCTGTAGTCTTTGTTCCTAATAAAAACATAGCCATAATAATATTTACTGTTTTAGTGAAGGTTTGTTATGGCTGGATGAAGACTTTCAGAAGCTTTCAAGTACCTAGAGATTATGGGGGCCACCTCATGTGTAGTTAAAAGCAAAACAAATAGTAAACTAATCTGTAACATGAAGATTGGGATGCCTGACAAAAGACTCATTCTTCCTCCACCCTGTGATTACTTCGATATTTGTTCATTAGAAAAAATTAATTTGTGTTTATTGACCTAAAATTTTCACTTGAGAAATTTATAAATCTTAAGTGTACAGCTTAATGTTACACATCAATATTCATGTCAAGATACAGAAAATTTCGAGCACCTTTGAAGTTTCCAGGAAGTCAATACTACCCTGTCATAGTTTCATTATTCTTACCTTTCTCATCATAGATTAATTTGGTCTATTTTTGAACTTCATATAAATAGAATCACATAGTATGAATTCATTAGTGCTGCCTTCTTTTGCTTGACATTGTGTTAGATTCATCCATTCGTGTGTCAGTAATTTCTTCACTTTCACTGTTGTGTAGTATTGTAGTTATGTGCATATACCACACTCTTGTACATGCTTTTTGTGGGATGCAAACATTCATTTCTATTTGGGGTATCTCCAGGAGCGGAATTGCTGGGTCATAGGGTAAATCCAATGTTTATCTTTGAAATTACAAATTCATTTAAAGAGTTTTTAGGATGCCCCTGCTTTCTTGGTACCAAGTACTGTTCTAAACCCAGAGAGTCGGGCTCTAGAATTTGGGATCTTAAATTAAGCTCTTCTGCCTCCTAATCCAGTGTTGGGCCTCTTGGATTCTAGGCTCTGCTCTAGGTTGTTTACAGTTACTTGTGCTCACTCTAACAACTCTGTTATGGTATGGTGTATTATTTTTATTTAATTGACAAGCTCCTATTGTATCTTCCATCATTCTGGCTACCACAGTCTACCATTTACAGTTGGCATTCGGAGAGAGATTGTTGACTAAAGAGAACTATTTTAGAAAAGATGACACTGATTCTTTAAGAGTATTGTTTTATTTATTCACACCAAAACATTTTAACTACCCTATTAAGAGCCAGATAGAAGGAATTAGGGACTCCTGATTCAAAGAAGAAGAAGTCATGTCTCTCCCTGAGGTGGTCACAAAAAGGAGATGAGACCAAGGTCAAAGCTCAGTACAGAGTGGTGCTATCACCAGGATGTGAGCAAAGAAATCTGAGGCTGTGTGTGTGGAGTTGGGAAGGCCTCGTGAAGGAAGAGGTGATATCTGGGCTGAAATTGGAAAGATGTGGAGGATGTTGCAGGTCAGAAGAAGGATGAAGCATTCTAGCTGGAGGCAACTAACTATATGTGCCTTGACGGGGAGCCGTGGAAAGGCCTTGCTCATCCCCTGAATGGTGAACAGTTCACTACGGAGGAGGCTGGGTGGTATTGGGGACGGGTGGAGAGAAAGGGAAAGGGAGAGGATTGTAGTTGAATGGTAGGATGTAGCTGGAGTGCAAAATAAATGTTTGATTAACTAGATTGTTTGGGAAGGAACTCAGTTGCCTTTGGTTAAAAATCCCAGAGGTGTTAAGGAAATAAGATCCAGCTTGGTTGTTAGTGTTGGTGTACTACTTTTATAAATGGTCTGCTATGTTTTATTTTTTAGTAGCTCTTGTAAGGATGTTGGGAAAGGACCTCTGGGGAGAAATAGATAGTAATTGAGTGTGGGATAATTCAAAGGTTATTGGCCTATCTACACTTATCTAATAAGGTTTTGTCGTTGGATGGAATCTAAAGTATTATCTAAATTATCTCTGTTTCTCACAGAGGAAGAAAGCAGAGCTGTGTGTAGGTTAAGTGACTTCGTGAAGCCCAGTGTCCAGTTAGTGAAGCAGAATGAATGAAGAGATAAAGAGCAGTCTTTGACTCAGGCAGGCCTGGGTTCTAATCATGTCTTAGTAAGTGGCTGTGTGACTTATGGCAAGTCCTTTAACTCTTTATTTGTGAAACATGCAATTTTATCTACTTCCTAGGTAGCCCTCAACATAGGACTTTTTACCTATAAGAGTTCAGTATAATCTCTTTTCCTTTTACTCTCCCCATTAGCACAGGGTCACTGTAATAGAAGTGAAAAAAAAATGCATCAGAGCTCAGAGAGAGGGAAGTCAGCTGGTCTCTCAAGCAGGGCTTTTTTTTTGGGTGCCAGAGTTGTGGTAGGCACCCCACTATCTTGATTCAGATTCTGTATTTCTGAAAATTTGACACTATCAGAACTTCTAGAGTTGACTGACTTCTTGGGAAGAGACTCACATTAACAGAATACACAAGAAACCTATGAATAGTACAGAATGCAGATTTGTTAACTTCCAACAATAGATGCATCTTTTATAACTGGTTCTCCTCAGCCTCATATTTTTTCTTGCAATAGAATAATCAGAAAGTTGCTAATTGAACACAGAATCTGAGCTAAGGGAGTTGGAAAGTGTTCAGAAATAGTTTACCCAGGCTGTGAGAGCAAGGCTGATGCTTTCACAACTAGGGACCCTCCTATAACAGCCCAAACTTTTGTGTCTAGCTGACATATATGGTCACTGTTGGAAAAATACAACACATTTTTTACTGTGATTGCCCTTTTTAGACTGTAAGTGGACTATACCTATTAACACACACATCTTCTGAAATGGTTGGGTGAGAATGATCTTCAGTTATATTCTACTACTGAGGAAACATGCCCATCGCCTTTGATTGGATTTGAGTGTTTCACAAATCTATACCAGCACTCTTACCAGAGGTAATCTCTACAGGTAGCTGATATTAACTAATTTAACTTCCAGAGTTTAGAATTCCTTCATTTTCTAGATGCAGCGCAGTACTGAGTTCTTTGTACTAGTCTGTATTCTGTATACCTGTAGCCTGATAGGGAGCATGTACTCTATAAAAAGGTGAAGATAAAATAGAACATCAGAAAAGGACTCAAGCAATAGAATTTGTCTGTTGTCTATAGCATTCCACCTCGTGTCCTGACAGGATTCTCAGGAAAGGGTGAAAATGGTGTGTAAGATGTAGAACTCCCAGGGATGGGAAGCTGAGGAGGAAGAAACAGAACTTTCAGGAAAGAGTTCTATGGAAGGCAGGTGGAAGATCAGGAATCTGCAAACAAATCTTCAGGGTCTGTTGCTGATCTGAGAGAGGATGATGGAGCATTCAAGAGGAGTGTGGAGGAAAAGGCTGAAGAGTTGTTAAGGAAATAACTGGATATGCTATTGAGATGCTGGGAGTAGTCCCGGCTTAGGGACCTGCAAGATTGTTGGTGCAATTCAGGAAAACAACAAAGAAAGGAGGATAGGCATTGTTTGAATAAATTCGCGTTTGTTTAGGTTGAGTAGATGAATTGAAATAACTAGTGAGCAGTTTGGTGTAAGGCTTGGAGTTTCTGCAACAAGTTTGGTGTTTTACCTTGTTGACAGCGTGAAAGTGGGTAAGATTCTTGGAAGAGAATGAACAATGCAAGGGGTCGGGAGGGAGGCAGAGCTCGGATGGCCATGCAGATTTAAGGATGAGCAGAGGACTAACTAGGAGCAGGACAAGGCGAGTGGAGGACATTTTGAAAGCCAAGGGAGCACGTTTGAAGGCGGTATCAGACGCCTCCTGGAGGCCAAGAGGAGGCAGACCAATTTATTGTCGCCCTCACTCACTGGATTCTGCGGAGGGTTGGGGTGGGGCGAAGGCACACCGCAGGCAGAGACTAAATTGAAGAGATAGGAAGTTGCCTTAGTAGTGTATATTCTTTAGGGGAGTTTGGCGGTGATGAGACCCAAACGGTAGGATTTGGAGGACAATTTAGGGCTCAGGGAGATAATCAGCCTCCTAATCCCGTACCCCTGAGCGGGAGTAAATGCATCTGCTGGAGGCCCTCTGCAGTTCCTTTTGGGTCCTTCCTGGGATTTCCCTTCCAGCTCTAAACAAAACAACAAACCAAAAAATCCAACCTACTACCCTAAACTGAAAAAAATGCCACTCAGTAAAGAAAAGCAGCAAAACGTCTTGTTTGAACTTCTCTTTAAAAATTCTGGCATGCAAATAAAGGGCTTTAATGTAGGTCCCAGCAATTGGTAGGTAGTTAACGGAATTCGTCATTTCCTGGTATTGCCGGATGCAAACGAAAAGTCTGCCTTCTGCTTTCCCACTGGCTATTGGATAGCCAATCGAACTACCTCCCTTTACCCCCTCCCTGTAGCTCTTATAAATTACATCAAATTGATTATTCTTGACGCATCTTTCTCATGGTCAAACAAGGTGTAACTGCTTTATTTTAGCTGTGATGTCAGCACGCGGAAAGCAGGGAGGTAAAGCTCGTGCCAAGGCTAAGTCGCGCTCATCCCGCGCTGGTCTCCAGTTCCCAGTGGGCCGAGTGCATCGCCTGCTGCGCAAAGGCAACTACGCCGAGCGCGTGGGGGCTGGCGCGCCGGTCTACATGGCGGCCGTGCTGGAGTACTTGACCGCCGAGATCCTGGAGCTGGCGGGTAACGCCGCCCGAGACAACAAGAAGACGCGTATCATCCCTCGCCATTTGCAACTAGCTGTGAGGAATGACGAAGAGCTCAACAAGTTACTTGGAGGTGTTACCATTGCCCAGGGCGGCGTCTTGCCCAATATCCAGGCTGTCTTGTTGCCCAAGAAAACGGAGAGTCATAAGCCTGGCAAGAACAAGTAACTGGGCCTGACACCACACCAGCCCCACCCCAAAGGCTCTTTTAAGAGCCACCAAAGTATCAAATGAAGGGCTGGTAACAGTTAAGTAGCGCATTAGCTCTTTTTTTGAAAGATTGGGTGGCTCTAAAAAGAGCCTTTGGTCTTTGGTTTGCTTCTTCAGCATTTATTTACTTTTGGCCTTGTGGCTTTCGGTTTTCTTTGGTAACAGAACCGCCTGGATGTTAGGCAAAACGCCACCCTGGGCAATGGTGACTTTGCCCAGCAGCTTGTTAAGCTCTTCATCGTTGCGGATGGCCAGCTGAAGATGACGAGGAATGATGCGCGTCTTCTTGTTGTCTCGGGCGGCGTTACCCGCCAGCTCCAGGATCTCGGCAGTCAGGTACTCTAGCACGGCCGCCATGTAGACCGGCGCGCCGGCCCCCACGCGCTCGGCGTAGTTGCCTTTGCGCAGCAGGCGATGCACTCGGCCCACTGGGAACTGGAGACCAGCGCGAGATGAGCGCGACTTGGCCTTGGCACGAGCTTTGCCTCCTTGCTTCCCGCGACCGGACATAGCTACAAAGCGAAGTTAAAACCCTTAAAACTCACAATCTTGCAGCCAAACCGGATTGAGAAGTCAGCAATTAGAAAGCCTTTATAAGCTTTTCTAGGGGTGGGGTCAGGAGCACGTTTTTCATTGGTCCTAAATTGGCTCCAGAAATAACCAATAAGATCAAGAGCTGATGTTGTCACTCAACTATTACTGGAAACGCGAGGTTCCCACATAGACCAATAGAAACAAAATGCTGCTGGAGCCCTAATTTGCATACGGTGGTTATAAAAGGATCAGGCCCGCCTCTCATCTTATTTCTATCCTTAGCTAACCCGTGTGTAGTGTTCCGCAATGCCGGAGCCTGCGAAATCCGCTCCTGCGCCCAAGAAGGGTTCTAAAAAGGCTGTCACCAAAGCCCAGAAGAAAGATGGTAAGAAGCGCAAGCGCAGTCGAAAGGAGAGCTATTCCATCTACGTCTACAAGGTCCTCAAGCAAGTGCATCCGGACACTGGCATCTCATCTAAGGCCATGGGCATCATGAACTCCTTCGTCAACGACATCTTTGAGCGCATCGCCGGCGAAGCATCCCGCCTGGCGCATTACAACAAACGCTCGACCATTACGTCCCGGGAGATCCAGACTGCCGTGCGTCTGCTGTTGCCAGGGGAACTGGCGAAGCATGCTGTGTCTGAGGGCACCAAGGCCGTCACCAAGTATACCAGCTCTAAATGAGCTCCAATACCGGGACGAGCCGCTCGCACGAGTCGCTGGCTGCTTGACTCTAAAGGCTCTTTTCAGAGCCACCCCTCCTAATCACCACAAAGAGCTGTGTACTATTTTCTACTCGCCCAATAAGTTATTAGTTGAAGGTCACGGGATACGATACACGTAGCTGTTTTTTTTTTTTTTTTAACTTTGACTACGTTCCTGGCGCATGATTGGCTTTGCTCTTTGAATCCAGGGCGCGTCTTTAACCCTTTCCTGTGCATTTGTTTTCCTATGAGTCGGTAAGAAGTTAGAACCTGCTCCACATCCTCTATTCTTAGACTGTGGTGTCTTGGTTCCTCTCTTGTGTATGTTTCATCGCTATTTTAGGATGAAATGATCTTAACTCTCTTCGCTTAAGGAAGGACTCCAGCACACAACCAAGCGCACGTCCTGTAAACACTACGTCACAAACCTGAAGAATTTTCCGCAGGGTTGGATGGCTGCTTTGGTGCTGGTCGATAGTTTTGCGCTGCGGTGTGGTCTTCTGGGGACACCAGCGATTCTGGGCACTTAGGGTGGGGTCTGTGCTACCAGGTTCCACCCTTTCTCTGGACAACGATGACATTTAACAACATGGGCCGTTCCGAAATTAACAGATGCTGGTTTCCACTGCTCACTTTGGGGCTTTGAAGTCCCTATTGTTTCTCATTTGTGTGGATGATTTTGCATTTAATTTCCTTAGAACGCTCTGGACTCAGGCTACTTCAAGGTACTGGTCATTTAGGTCCGGGCTCCTAAGTCACCTCTTAGATTTCCAAGACACCCACTCAGGACTTTGGGCATCTCTTTCCTTCCTGTCCTGGTCCCTCACGATTTTATCTTCCTCCTAGCAGCCATCAGAAATCGGATCGGTTTGTTATGTTTTTGTAGTTTCTATTTTGTTATAGTTTTATCAATCCCTTACAGAGACTGCTAGTCGGTTTCCGTTATATCGTCACCATTATTAAGTGCCTGGCACATAGCGGACACTTAAACACTATTAGTATTTGTTTTCTTAGCGCACCCCTTAATCACTTCCGTGGATGGATGGGTGCGGTTCATTTCCATTAGATGTATGTGAAAACAGGATAAAAACGGAAATGTTTTTGGAGCTCCTTCCCTAAGCCTCCGTGGTCACTTCGGGGCAACAGCTGGGGGGGGGGGGGGGAGGAGGCCCTTTTGAAGATTATTTTTGCCACAGAGGAGATGGCAATGGTAGGTCTTCTCTGTTACGGTTCTCAATTTAGTGCCTTGGATTTTCATTAGATTGAGAGCACTGGTCTCTGCAAAGACCCTCTCCCTTTTCTGAACCGCCCTCGCCTCCACCCCAGCCAGAACTCTGTTCCACACGGAGATGAGGTTTTAACTTACATTTACCAGTCTCTTTGCTTCTCAGGAGACGATGTAAGACAGGCAAGGTTAATAGCCCTTTTATAAACGAGGTTGAGACTGGTCATGCAGCTGACATGGTCCACCATTTTATCCTCAGATGCAAGGACAACTGCATTTTAGTTTTATTTTGTTGAATCTTTCCTTCCAAGCCTTGCTTGATTTTGCTGCTAAAGACACTGAGGATCTAATCCGTTACACAGCTCTGCTTTTGACTAAGTCCTGGCGTCTATTGCAGGGGTTTCATGAATCCAAATGGACACCAGACATTTTCATAGACTTAGTAAATATTATGTTTCATGTATGTGTGTTTTCAAATGTGTGCTGATGGTGCCGTTATCGATAAAGTCACCAGTTAATTTAGCATTCTTTTATCTGGAATATATAAAAAATACATTTAAAATTATGTTATCTGCAGTATTTCTTAACTAAATGAAATTGGCATAGAGAACCACTACTGAGTCTTTGGAAAAGCTGGGTGCCTCTACTTGGAGCATGAGTATTTACGAAACATCAGCAAACTTCTAGCTGAGAGGTGGACTGAGGCTTGTCATGAGGACTTTGTTAATGCTTAGTAATTGAAAAATACGTGACAACAAATGATCATTATAAACAAAATAAAAGAAAAATTACAAAGTTTTAAATAAATATTTATTTATTTATTTTTAGAAACAGGGGAAGGGAGGGAGAAAGAGAGGGAGAGAAATATCAGTGTGTGGTTACCTTTCTCGCCCCCCCCCCCCCCCCCCCCCCCGGCAGCCTGAAACGCAGACACTTGGGAATCGAACCACATGCAACCCTTGGGGTTGCAGACCAGCACTCAATCCACTGAGCCACACCAGCCAGGGCTGAAATTTTAGCTAACACCCACAGAGCACTTATATGTGCTAGCTAATGTCTTAGATCCTTTACCCATGTTGATTCATTTAATCCGCCCAAGAGTCTCACGAAGTAGTTACCGTATTATCTACCATTTTATAGATGTGGAGACTAAGGCACAGAGAGGCTTCTCTTCAGAAACTCTCCAGAGAGTAAACTCCTAGTTAAGTGTTTAAGAGCCTTGAGAAAGTAAGGTAACTGTCTGAAAACCTGGGTCTCTCTCGGGATTGGGGGTCGGTGGGGGCGGAATATCTATGGTTTAAAATTAAAATCAAAAGAAATGTCACCAGCTTTATTCTCTTCAGGATACACCCTGAATGTGTACCTATGCTGGTGGTGGCGGCGGCCTTGAGGATGGGGTTGCGAGCCTCCGGTTCTCTACCCCAGAGGCCATAGCTCAACTCCGTTTAGCTTGTCCCGCAGCGGTAGGGCTCCTCAGCTGGAATCCCTTCACTAACATTAGAGAACCTTGGTTGCTGGTTATGGGCTCCTCCTGGGCACGGTGTTTACAAGGAAGGAAGTTACAGAGTGAGGGAGAGGGTAGAAGTGGCAGAGCTTGGTATTTTAACTGCAGAGGGGAGGGAGCTGGTAATGCTGAGGTGAATCTTCCTAAGGAACCTCTGAGCACTTCTTTCTCTGGCTCAAACATTTGGAAACATTTTCTGATGTTGGGGCTAATAACGATAGTTGTTATAATAATTGCTTATTCTTACTGAGTACCTGTTTTTTACGTTATTATTATTATTATTATTTTGTTTTTTATTTTTGGGTTCTGTGCCCTCTTTAGAGCATCTATGTACCTAGTCTTCTGCCAAGTGGTTTACGTGCATTGCCTAATTTAATATTTACAGCCACCATTTAAGACAGTTTCATTATTATCATCCTTATATTATGTATAAAGGAGAATGAGTCTTGAAGAGAACTTAGATACGTTGTCCAGGATCGTTTGGGGAATAAGTTGTGGAACCGCAATCCAACGCGCTCTTTGAAAGAGCTTGATATTCAAGGCCCTCAACGATCTGCTTCTTCCTTTTTTGATTTTTCTGCTCTAATTAAAATGGTCTGTTCATCATCTAAACCCGTGTGCTGTTTCCCTGGTCTAGACTGAACCGCCTCTTCCTAGCTTGGCCAGAGGTTTCTTTTAAGCTGAGGCTGTATCTTCCAGCTCAAATGGCACTTCATAACTTATGCTCTACCATACTTACCTCTACTTCAAAATAGCAACTTCTTACTGAGGTATAATGGGCATTCAATAAACTACACATGTTTAAAGTATAATTTGCTAAGCTTTGACATATATCTGTCTATGAAAACATCACTGCAATCAAAATAGTGAACATATCCGTTGCCCCTGCCCCAGTTTCCTAGGGTTCTATCAAAATTCTTCCCACCTGCTGGCTTCACCAATGTCCTCCTTTGCTCCCATCCCTGTCCTCTGGCAAACACTGGTTTGATTTACCTAATTATAGATAGTTTGCATTTTCTAGAATTTTATGTAAATGGAATCATACACCATGTATCATTCGTGGCTTCTTTCACTCAGCATAATAATAATAATAATTATTTTTAAACATTTTATTTTATTTTTTAAAGATTTTATTTATTTATCTTTAGAGAGGAAGGGAAGGAGAGAGGGAGTGAAATATCAATGTAAGGTTGCCTCTCATGCGTCCCCTACTGGGAACTGGTGTGCAACCCAGGCATGTGCCCTGACTGGGAATTGAACCGCGATGCTTTGGTTCACAGGCCTGATCTCAATCACTGAGCTACATCAGCCAGGGCAGCATACTTATTTTGAGAGTCATTCATATTGTTGCATGTATCAGTTCATTTTGTTTTTATTGCTAAGTAGTATTCCATTGTGTGGCTACCCTACTATTGTTAATCCACTCACTTGTTCATGAATAGTTGGGGTGTTTCCAGTCCTTCCTCCACTTTTAAATGCTCTCCATCCGTGCCGTGGTGGTTCCAGAGATGAACGTGATAAACCTCTGCCCTCAATTGGGAAGGAACTCAGATGGGGGATCAAACACATACACAAATACTT